CGAGAAGAAAAATGAGTGATTGAAAGCAATGCAAGAAGAGATGAAATCCTTGCATGAAAACCATACCTTTGAGTTAGTAAAGCTTTCATGTGATGGCTGTCTCTTGGTATTGAAATTAATGTGGTTCGGTTACTGTAGCGGCATAATTAAAAATAGAAGAGAGGAGAAGAAAATCAAGAGAGAAAAAGAGAAGAAGAGGCAGCAGAGCAGCTTGTGTTCTTCCTTCGATTTCCAGCTCGTTCACCGTTGGATCGGGCAGAGAGTTTGACAGCAGCTTTTAGACACGTTGATTTTCATTCTGGACTGTTGGATCAAAGATTGGTGGTGTGGAAGCTGGCCGTTTTGACAGAAAACGGGGCTGTCAGTTTTGTGAGTTTTTCTCAAATAATTCTCCTTTAATCTTGTTGTAATCCGAGAATAAGTTGTTCTTGATGATATATATGTTGTATCCCTTAGTTGAATCTGAGGAAGAATGATTGTGAACCCATTATTTGTTGATAGTGGAAGTTTTTAGGTGGACTACGGTCCCGTGGTTTTTCCCGCATCGGGTTTTCCACGTTAAAAATCTTGGTGTTGATTTTATGATTATTTGCATTATTTTTCATCATTGTTTGATTCTGTTTTACTGCACAAAGAGGGAAAGAATTATCTGATTCTGTTTTACTGCACAAGAGGGAAAGAATTGAGACTTGTGAATTGTGAATTGTATTCCGCTAAATTGATCCGGGTAAATTGATATCCGGTTGTTCCTAGTTTTCCCAACATAATTCAATCTGGGGATTTGAAGTCATTGATGAAGCCAAGGCTCGAGTGGAGAGCATATGTCCTGGAGTTGTTTCGTGTGCTGACATCGCTGCTGTAGCAGCCTGTCATGCATCTGTTGCTGTGAGAAACCCATTCCATAATCTTGCTCCACTTGATTTGGTGACACCCAATTCTTTCGATAACAATTACTTCAGGAACCTCATTCAAAGGAGGGGACTTCTTCAATCAGACCAGGTGCTCTTTAGTGGTCAATCTACAGACAGCATAGTCACCGAGTACAGCAGGAACCCTTCACTTTTTAGTTCTGATTTTGCCGCTGCCATGTTAACCCAGGGAGACATAGAACCACTGACTGGTTCTCAAGTAGAGATACGAAGGGTTTGCAGTGTTGTTAATTGATTCGCTGAACAACCCTTCAAATTCAAGATTTTTTCCTCATTTGATTCTTAAAATAAATAGTGGCTTGAGCAAGATATAATCTACTCGAAGCAACCCAATAGTCATTTAAGTATTCGTTATTTAATTGAATTCAATAATGATTCACGTCATTCAAGTATTCGTTATTTAATTGAATTCAATAATGATTCAATCTTTTTTATAAGCGTAATTAAGCAAGTGGTTATTTTAATTCTGAGTGAATGGAATGGAATAATTTAAGCTAATGGTTTTGTGTTTTACTTTTATTTTGTTGTTACAAGTATCATAACCCAATTTCAAGTTTTTTCTAAAGTTATCTTTTCCTTTTTTTTAAAAAAAAAAACAAATTAATAAAAATTTCATGGAAAACCAATATGAAATTTTGGACAAAATTGAGAGTTCAATTGCACTCCATTGCATCAAGATTGAAAGATAATGCAAATTTAAGATTAAATCAAATGATTATTATATAAATTTATATAAAAATTAAGTCAGATGACTTAATTAAAATTTTAATAAATCAATTTAATTTAATTATGGATATAATTAAAGGTTTATTAAAACTTTATAATCAATTTGAGTCAAATTCAAATAATTAATTAAGTGCAAGGCTTTTAATAGGTCAAATTCATTTTATTAAGGACTTAATTGGTGAAAAATTAATTCTGAAAGCTTAATTTACGTTTAATTGAGTAGATTAAAATTTTAAAGGAACAAATTTAATTTTTCCAAACCCAAGTAAATGAAATTAGGGATGAAATTGCAATAAAATCAAAGTTTTTTTTGGGGGGTCAATTATGGATCAAATTAATGAAATTCAAGGCCAAGAATCTTTTTGCAAAGGGCATGTGAATTCGGGGACCCAATTCAATTGAAAACAAGGATAAAATTGAAGAGATTAAAAGTTTGAAGGTCAATTAAGAATGAAATTGAAAATATTCAAGAGTAAGGACCAAGTTGAAAGAGGTGCTAAACTTAGAGGGTTACTTTAAAACTTGATAAGGGTGAAATTGAATTGATTCTTTTGAAATCAAAACTCAATTAAAGACCTGATTGAATAAATCCAAAGGTTAAAAGGCTAAAATTGAAAGAGATGTTTTTTTTTAAACCTAATTTAACCTTAAATGACAAAACAATATTGTTTCATTTAAATGAAATAATGTGTTTTGATAAGGAGAAAAAAATAATATAGTGTTAGACGACGCATCGTTTGACACTGTTCATCATCTTCTTCCTTTCTACTAGAAAAGCTACTCGAATTGCTACTTTTTAGAGGCATTTAAATGCCTCATCTATTTAACAAACAAAACAAACAAGCCATTACTCTTACAGCTCAACATTGTACTACACCCCAGCTTGATTCCCACCATATGGCCGTCTTTGTAGCTGCTGCGGCGTGGCCCCAAAGACAACTACCTGATTAGCTTGTGTAACCCAATTTTAACAACATGGGATGATGAATTTTGGCCAACAATTAAGATTCTTACCATTTGAATTAAGGGTCATGATTCATGACAGATAAACACTCCATGCCTCTCTTTCAACCTCTATAAATAGTGGTAAAATCCATTGAGAAAAGAAGGAGAGACTGAAGCACAAACCTACCCCTTGCACCAACTTTTCTTTAAAAAGAAAAAAAAAGCAGAAAAGAACACATCCATCACTCTTTCTCTCATTTTTTCAAAGACACAAAAACAACCACCCCTGTCCCAACCCTAACATCACATCTTCCAGCCTCTTCCTTCTGACTTTCCATCATCTCCATTTGCACTAACAAAAAAATGAAAACAACCTATATACCATTCATAGCTTCTTTAGCTCCCACAACCTCCATTAGCAAACCACCACACCACATCTGAAGTTCCATTAGCTAGCCGACATACCCATCCAGCCTAGGTAAGCCTCTTCCTGCTCTTTATCTTCTTACAATGCATGTTAATACATGTCGGTAATGTGAAGTGAAGAAATAATTCACATTACTAGCATTTGCCAACCGTTACTGGGTTGGCATAGTGGTGGCTAAATAATGGGCTAAGCCTTTGCTTCAGCCAAGCCTGCGTGGCTAGGTTGGATCTAGCTCACACATAAAAAACAACTTCTGGGTTTTTGAGATAGCCTAGATTCTACACGACCCAGTAGCTTAAACTCGCCGGAGAAGCGAGTTCCTGCACCAACGCCGGCTATGGATAAGGCGGGGCACACTGCCATTGCTGGTTTAGATATTAGACAGGTAGATTAAAAAGAGTGGGAGGTTTTGCATAAAGAGCTGAGATATCTGTGGTAGGAAGGTACAAACCCGGGCAGCTTGAGTGCATTTGTTGCTTTGCTTGTACGGCTATTTCTGGACAAACTACATATGAGTCCTCCAATTTCAACCTGAGTCACATTGTTCTCCCATTAAAATCTTGCTCTTTTAGCTATGACATTGGTACTGACAACACAAGAAAAAACATTGGTTTTGTATCATGTCCGAGCATTGCTTTAGGTCAACTAGTTTAGAAAATAACTATATATCTTTTTTTTTCATTTGGAGGGTTTTTTTTTTTAACAGATCAACAAATTGAGATTCGCAACTTCAGCGATCATGTACTTTTCTAGATTGAGATTGGAAATTTCAATTGTGTGCTAGATTTCCATGAAGTGAACGCTTTTTTTTTTTTTTTTCCTATTGGAAAAGTCAGCCAATCCTCAATCTTTTAATCCCATGTCTCTAAAATAATAATACAAACAAAAAATTATTTAGAGAATTGTCTCTTCTTCGTTTAGACCAACCAAATCAACTTTTGCTTAAATTGTTAGAAGAAATAATAATGCGTTTCGTAGACCAATGCAACAAAAATAAGATTTCTTCAGTTTTATTTATTTTTAATTACTTTTGATGATGGCAAGTGGGCTCTTTATCTTCCTTGTGTTTGATTTTGAGATGTGATAATTTTTTTTAAAGAAATGCAATACCTTTTAAGCAAAAATTACATCTTTAAAAGCTAAAAAACCATGTTTTACCCATGAAAAGCATAAGCTACCTTCCATCCAAACACATAATAAAATCTTGATGGTCCTCTTAGCAATATATTTATGTAATACGGGAGGTCAAATAATATAAGAATTTTGCATGTGAAAGCTGAAGATGCCACAATTTATAAGAACAAAGAAAGTAAGATTATTCTAGCAGTTTTATTTATTTATTTCAAAAAAAAATATTGGTAAAGGGATCAATGAAACTATAAGAAAAGTACTCCTGGAAAAGTACCATGGTAGCCAATCGCTTTGGATGACTCTTCCATAGGATCTGGTAAGCAAAATTAAATGCTGAGAGAAAGAAAGTAAACCCTAGAAATTTTCAGGGTCGGATGTCTTGTCTTACTGTTACTACTTTTGAAAGAGTCTTCTAAAGAAGTCATTATCTTAGGGACACAGCCATACCAACGGGCAGTCTATAAGTATAGAGGAACTGAGGCTTATGCCATTCACATCCTCATTCGCTAGTAGATTTCTTTAGCTTCGGCACCATTTTCTACCACTTGATTTTCAATACATTTTGCACAGCATACGAAATGGTTTCTCGTTTATCTTTAGCTTGTGTTGTTTTTTCATTATTCTTGATTTCCTCATGCTTGCCATGCCAAGCACAACTGTCTTCAAACTTCTATGACAGCACATGTCCGAATGCACTGACCACAATTCGTACTGCTATTCGGAGAGCCGTCTCGAGTGAGCGCAGAATGGCAGCATCCCTTATTCGTCTTCACTTCCATGATTGCTTTGTTCAAGTAAATTACTCGATCTCTACAACATTAATACTGCACAGACAGATTTATTTCAGTCTGGAACTGATATATATGTTTGCTATATTGCAGGGTTGTGATGCTTCAATCATGCTTGACAATTCTCCTTCAATAGATAGCGAGAAATTCTCATTCAGCAATAACAATTCAATCCGGGGATTTGAAGTCATTGATGAAGCCAAGGCTCGAGTGGAGAGCATATGTCCTGGAGTTGTTTCGTGTGCTGACATCGCTGCTGTAGCAGCCCGTGATGCATCTGTTGCTGTGAGTAACGCATTCCCTGCTTGGAAAGCTTCTCATTCAGACGTGATCAATCTAGTTATAAGTTCGGTTTCTATCTATAATACAGGTTGGTGGACCCTCATGGACAGTGAGACTTGGAAGAAGGGACTCCACCACAGCAAGCCGAAGCCTAGCTGACAGCGATATTCCTAGAGCTACAACTGGCCTTGTAAACCTAATTGACATGTTCAATGGAAAAGGTTTGAGTGAAAGAGATATGGTTGCCCTTTCAGGTGTGTGCCTAAATAAGAACTTGAACAGTTCCAACAATTTTCTAGGGCTAAACATATATCTAAACCCCCGAATGTATTGCTGTCAAAGTTTGACTAAAGATTTCATTTTGATACAGGATCACATACAATAGGCCAAGCAAGATGCGTGACCTTCCGAGGCAGAATATATGACAATTCAAGTGATATTGATGCTGGTTTCGCTAGCACCAGAAGACGCAATTGTCCATCTGCTTCCGGTGACGGAAATAATAATCTTGCTCCACTTGATTTGGTGACACCCAATTCTTTCGATAACAATTACTTCAGGAACCTCATACAAAGGAGGGGACTTCTTCAATCAGACCAAGTGCTCTTTAGTGGTCAATCTACAGACAGCATAGTCACCGAGTACAGCAGGAACCCTTCACTTTTTAGTTCTGATTTTGCCGCTGCCATGTTAAGGACCCAGGGAGACATAGAACCACTGACTGGTTCTCAAGTAGAGATACGAAGGGTTTGCAGTGTTGTTAATTGATTCGCTGAACAACCATTCAAATTCAAGATTTTTTCCTCATTTGATTCTTAAAATAAATAGTGGCTTGAGCAAGATATAATCTACTCGAAGCAACCCAATAGTCATTCAAGTAGTCGTTATTTAATTGAATTCAATAGTGATTCAATCTTTTTTATACGTGTAATTAAG